ATATATATATATATATATATATATATATATATATATATATATATATATATAGTAGTGTGTGTGTGTGTGTGTGTGTGTGTGTGTGTGTGTGTGTGTGTGTGTGTGTGTGTGTGTGTGTGTGTGTTATATATACGTATATTTTATTTCATATGTTCAAACTGAGAATTTTTATGTTTTGTATAGCTAACAAGTTATAATTAATAAAGCTTGATTCATTTATGTGCGCATTTACATATAACGCATTTTTAATAAATAATTGTTGATAATTCTGACATTGTCTTGACACAGTCCTGAAACATATTCTGAAAATATCATAACATATTCTGGCCCAAGTAGCAATATGACATCATTATGACGATGATTTAAGATCATTTTTCGTCATTTGTCATCAGTATACTAAATAATGACGTAAAATGAACGTAACATTTATCACGAAATATTATCGTCATAAATATATCGTCATTTAAACGTCATTTTTAAGATATTTTTAATGAATAAATAATGAAACATTATTAATTACTATCTTTCTTAATTAACTAATATATTAATATATAAATAAGAAAAATATTTCCCATATTTAATACAATTATTAACACATTCATAAACAAGTAAGCAAAATATATACAACAAAGGAAAATGATTCTCATTAAACATAATATAGGTTCGCGACTCTATATATGTAATTAAATTATCTACAAGAATTACATGTGCAATCGAGATTGTAAAATTGAGACTATTTATACAATATAACATTCAATAATCAGATTTATCATATTTTAAGCTTTTTAAGAAATTATGTAATCACTTATTTCTTCATTTCAGTAGCAAGTTTCATCCCAATGCAGAAGTTAAGCGACATTGAGCAGGACATCTCCAAGTGGATGGGTGACCGGTTTTAGAAACATGCGATGATAGGAGATAAAAGATGTTTCATCAATTTCTCTCATTTTTTATATTTTTTCCACTTATTTTCCGTAAGGGTCACGTATATTATAGATTTTCTTCAGTACTAGCATTCAATACCGGAACGCGATCGTTTTCAGGACCCCTAAAGTCATCCTGAAGTCGTCTTAAGAAAGTCCTCAGGAGCCTGAGGTTGAGTGGAGAACGCCCTGAGGACGTCTCGAGGACGTAATGAGGCGCTCATTTGCTAGTCCACAGGACGTCCTATTTACGTTTCGGGATCATAATAGGTAGTTCTCAGGATATCCGGCTCATCTAATAAAACGTCTTTATGTTATTAGGGAAGTATGTTATGTATATCATTCTGTTGTGTTAATCATTTTATAAACAATATATATATATTTTTTTCTTTTTTGTTACATGATTATATCATAATATGATAAATTTTATATAAATGTCGGTTTTACATAAAAAGAAATTGAAAAGTAAAAAAACAATAGGAGCTTCTGCAAATAAAAATTAAGTATAAATAAAAATTTGAAAATACATTATGTAAAATCTGCATCTATATTTTCATATTATGTTGCTTATTATACATTTTTATTAAAACTTTTTTAAAAATAATATATAAATATCTTTTGCACCTTTGAGCCATTACTTTTTCTTAACACATCATTAATTTCTTGTACATCATTAATTTCAATCCAAGATTTTTCTTCTTTATACATACCTGTGTAATGGCTTTTCTCAATATCTGTACATGATGAAATATAGCATTTATTATTTTATATTGCCATTTAGCTATTAATATTTTAGTTATTGGTATAACAGATAAATTAAATTTCTGTGGTATCTTATTAATTTATTATCCTCTAAAAATATAGTTAAACGAATAATAAATATTTCTCCTGTCAATGTTAATTCATTTTTAAATAATATATCATTTTTTTCTACAACGTTCATATGATTTGTCAATATAACACCAATGTGAAAATATATTTAATAAATCATTTATACTGTAGCTTTTTTTATTCAAATTGTTAATAGAAATTGAGAAGGACATTATTATTAGTAGTAACTTTTGTATTATCACATGATTTGCATCGACTAGTAAGTTGACATTGTTGAATAAGTTGACATTGTATCAGATTTTTTATATAATCATCAATTTTATATAATCATATTTTGTATAAAGAGCAGTAAGAAATTCGAATGCATCTCGTTTAATAGGAATTGAAAAATATTCTCCTAAAAATTGTCGTATATCATAGGTATTCAGGTTATTCATTCCATGTTCATATCAATGTAAATAAAACATCCAATTTATCATAATAATTAAATAAATGCTTTCTGATAATTTATATGTAATAAACATTGTAATACTGCATTTGCATAGCATGAAACTTTGTATTTATATTTTGAAAAACGCAAAATCCAACCAGTACTTTGTAGTACTTTTCATCTGACTCTTCAACAAAATTAATCATTTTTGACAATATTCATGGAACATCTTTGATTTTACAATAACGCTTTTTTAAAACAATCATTTTTATTCTGATTTATGTATTTGTTTAGCCGATTATATTCTATAATAGCTTCTTCATTGGCTATTACAGATGAAGGATCATAATTAAATATAATCCATCCAAAGACATTATTCGAGATAATGCAACATAAACCTATTATTCGCTGTAAAACAGCTGATCACACCGTCGAAGCGTGACAGTGCACCCGCGACGTTCGGTCGAGTTCGGGCAGCTCTGGATGATATGGGCCGCATAGCGCGCTTAATAATGGTGCATCAAAACGCTTCGTTACAATCTTTGTTACCTTTTTTTTTTGATATATGGAGCACAATCATTTGTATCTTCTGCAATTAATAATATTTCTTTTGAAGCAATACGATTTAATTTTGCAGTGTTAAGAACGTCACACATATGACAAGTAAGCAATAAACACATGGTGTCAGATGGCAAATTATTAATAAAATTACACAATTCATTTAGTCTTGTTTCGAAAGATTCCTCTTTAAAAGATATTTTTCTTCTTTGAGAAGAATGTCACAATCAGATTTTGTTACTAAACCAATACGATCTCGATAATAATTCACGATAAGTGCTGTCTTCTTGTTGATGCAAATTGATTGTCAATTCATCATAATCGAATAAAGTAGTCTATAAATTAAAAGCACTTAAAAAATCAAGATATTTATGAATTTTTTCATCTGACAAACAAAGCAGGATCTTCATGTACGGGAGGTCATGTAACTGGAGTAGACCTCTAAATAAAATAATATGCTTTTGACAAATTAACCATCATCACAATCAATAATATCGAATATTTAAGACAGTCGTGAGTGTATATACATTAAAATCAAATTAGATATCATTGACACTTCATCAATTATAATAAAAATAACATCTTTAAGGCTTCTGATTAGCGGCCATATTGAAATCATGATATCATAAGCGAGAAACGACACATAAAAGTTTGCTATATTTTTCCTGCAAATAAAGAGACGTTGTAGTAAAATAACACTTGAGATAGCTTTAAGACACTTGTAAAAACACTACAATCTTTTTCCCTCCTGACAGTTAATAAATAGTCGTAAAAGGCATGTGAAATGAAGCCTATTCCGGCAGAAAACGCACGATTTGATAGCTGTTGAAAGAGGTGAAAAATATGCTTTCACATATAAAATCGAAAGATAACTTTTGTAGTGTTCCGTTTTTACGGAACGACTTTGATAAATACGAAACAACTCACGTTTTCATGATTAAACACAAAATAATGTAATAAAGCGTAGCGTAAAATTTCATTGCCCGCACGTCACTTATATAAAGATGGACAAGGATGAGATGAACAAGGATGAATGAGCTTCTATTTTTCACCGCGGTACGTTGCTATTGTCAACGGAGTTTTTAGCTGAGTAATCAGATCTGATCGTAAAATTTGTAAAACGATGATCAAATAAAATGATCAGATAATTGTTTATACTTAGGAGTATGACCATGTTCGACAGATAATTGTAGCAATCTGTGAACTGTTAAACCATCTATATTAAATGTTGCCATACTAGTAGATACTGCTATAACAGTATTTTTGTTGAAATTTTATTTTATCCAGCATTTAATTGTTTTAATCAAGATACTTTTACTAGTACCTCCTTCTCCGCTAACGTATAATCATAGTATTGATTTATCTGATTTATATTACGGTAACTTTATCAAACACTCTTTTCTGCATTCAGTTTTGAAATCATTTCAGATATATCGATTTCCTCGTATTTGTTACCAAGATTTTTAAAATCTTGCATCGCTTCACCAGCTTCAACATTTTGAACATCTATTGGATTATTAGGATCTTGAGACTGCTGTTTTTCCAAATTATCAAGATCTTGAAATATTTGCTTCGCGTTTTCAAATGTTTTTCGTAATTCCTCTAATTTTTCCTGATACTGTAATGCTTCTACAAGATGTAATTTTACTTCATAAAATGATGCTATAATTACCACATTCATTTTTAAGTTCTTTTATTTTCTGCCATGGTTGAAACATAAGAAGCAATGAAAAAGAATATTTATCTAGCCATGTATTAATATCATATCTATAATGATCAATAAGATAGCTGTTTAAGATAATAACCATTATCCATCTGAAAGTATTCAATATTTTTACCTCTTGGTTTGTTCTTTGTAACATTATATCACTGTGCAAATTCCTGTAAAGACATCGATTCTAATTCTTCCGGTTTATTCTTCCGATGTGGATAATGATCATCTATTATAGATAGATAAAATAAATCTATAGAATTTCCATCAAGGGCTTCAACTTCCTTAGCTTTTGACTTTTTCATATTGTATTTGCTGAAAATTCTTGGGATTGCATAAGAATGTGACGTTTAGATTTTTTATCAATATTAAATGACTTCATATCTACTAATTTATATGATCTTATTATATAATGCATAATATATTATCCATGCGATTTTATAGCTAAATCATATTTAAATACATTTAGACACAATAGTTCACAATAGTTATTATTATTATCTTCACCGATAATAATATATTTACACATATGTGGTACTTAGCAGTATTTTCTGATTTTTATTGCTATTTATTCATACTTCATTTTATTTTTAAAGTTAAATGGTAAATTTT